CCCAACCTTTTCCCAACTCCTTTCCATCTCTTCCCATCCCTTTTCCAATCCCATCCCAGTCCAATCCCAACCCTTTCCCATCCCTTCCTAATCCTTTCCTATCCCTTCCCAATCCTTTTCCTAACCTTTCCCAACCCTTTCCCATCCCTTCCCTAATCCTTCCTAATCTTTTCCCATCCCTTCCCAGTCCAATCCCAACCCCTTCCCAATCTTTTCCCATCCCCTTCCCAGTCCTTTCCCATCCCTTCCCATCCCATTTCCAATCTTTCCCATCCCATCCCATCAATCCCATCCCATCCCATCAATCCCATTTTTTCCCATCCCATCCTATCCCATCAATCCCATCTTTTCCCATCCCATCCCACCAATCCCATCTTTTCCCATCCTTTTCCCAAATTACAAGCCGAAACATTCCCGAACTCCATTCCCATAAAGTCTGGAAGTCCAAACCACATTAGTTCTTCCCAAATTTTGGAGCCTTTCAGACAATTCCTTGGAAACCACTTCCCTATCCATCCCAATTTCTTCACAACATTCCAAAGGTTCTGGATAAACCACTAAAGAAAGTTCTGGTAAATCCAAAGTTTTCCAAAGAAAATTTTGAAGAGCTCCGAAAGAAAAAAAATTCCCAGTTAATCCAAGGAAACGAAGTCGGGAACAAGTTTGGAAAAGTGGGAGAAGAGAATCCAAATGGGAATCATCCAAGTGACATTCCAAAAGTTCCAAGTGGATTAAGGAAGAAGATGATTTTTCCAGGAGCTGTTGAAAAGTTTGGAAAAATTCTTGGGAAAAACGATGGCCGCTCAGATCCAATTTTTTTAGGGAATGGCAATGGAAAGTTTGGGAAAGGAAGGAAAGGTCGGAAGGGAGAAGGGAACAAAAAGCTAATTCCAAACTTTCCAAGGGATTCTGGAGATACCTGGAGGGAAAAAAAATAGAGAATTAGAAGGGAAAAAGATCCAGAGGAAATTCCCAGGGAGGAATTCCTAGGGAAGGAATCCAGAGGAAAATTCCCAGGGAATTCTTTCCAGAGGCAATTCCCAGGGAATGAATCTTCCATTCCTTTTGGATCTCCCTAGGGAATGAATCCCTAGGAATTCCCTCTGGAATTCCATTCCTTTTGGATCTCCCTAGGGAATAAATCCCTAGGAATTCCCTCTGGAATTCCATTCCTTTTGGATCTCCCTAGGGAATAAATCCCTAGGAATTCCCTCTGGAATTCCATTCCTTTTGGATCTCCCTAGGGAATAAATCCCTAGGAATTCCCTCTGGAATTCCATTCCTTTTGGATATCCCTCGGGAATGAATCCCTAGGAATTCCCTCTGGAATTCCATTTCTTTTGGATATCCCTCGGGAATGAATCCCTAGGAATTCCCAAGGAATGAATCCCTAGAAATTTTTTCTGGAATCTCTTTGGAACTTACCCCAAAATTTCCGGAAGTTTCCCAGATAATCTTGACGATCCCAAATTAATTTCTTTGAGTTTCCTCAACATTCCCAAAGATTTCCCAATCCTTCGGATCCCAAATTCTTCTCCTTCCTTGATTTTCTTCACATCCACATTACTATATGGAATTCTCAAACTCGTCAACTCGGAAAATCGGGAAAGTTTCGGTAAAACTTTGGCTAATCCCGAAATTCCCAAATTATTGAACCGTAGATCAACTCTCTTCAATCCTGAGGGATCCAAAAAATCCAATAAAGTCAAAATTCCAAGGAGAGAAAGTTCTTCCGCTCGGAATTCCCGACATTGGATCCGGAAAATTCCGGAATTTCCAATCCGAAGAGCATCTCGGACAATTCCATAGGATGTGGAGTTGACAGAAAGATCTGTAAGGATTTGGATTCCTTTAGGAGATTCCCAAGGGTTGGAATGAGGTTGGAATTGGCTTTGGAATTCTTGGAAATGTTTGGAAATTTCCAGAGAAGCTTTGGCGATGGAGACAGTGCTGGACCAGAGGCTGATCCCATTGGGAATTTGGCAGGAAAAGGAGGATGAGGAGGAATCCTGGAGATCTGTCAGGTCCAGGAGATGGAGTTGACACCTGGAAAAGGGATGGAAAAGTGGGAATGGGGAGGTGGGAATGGGAAAAGTGGGAATAGGGAGGGGGGAAAGGAGGGAGAGATGGGTTGGAAGGAAAAGGGTCATGGAATTCCCAAGGAAAAGAAGAAGAAGGAAAGGGATGGAAGGGGAAGGAAAAGAGTCTTGAAATTCCCAAGGAAAGGGATGGAAAAGGAAGGAAAAACCTCTTGGAATTCCCAAAGAAAGGGAAGGAAAAGACTCTTGGAATTCCCAAGGAAAGGGATGGAAAAGGAAGGAAAGGGAGGGAAGAGGAAGGAAAAGAGTCTTGGAATTCCCAAGGAAAGGGATGGAAGAGGAAGGAAAAGAGTCTTGGAATTCCCAAGGAAAAGAAGAGGAAGGAAGGGTGGAAGGGGAAGGAAAAGAATCTTGGAATTCCCAAGGAAAGGGATGGAAGAGGAAGGAAAAGCCTCTTGGAATTCCCAAAGAAAAGAAGAGGAAGGAAAGGGATAGAAG